TTTGGGAGTATTGATTTCCATAACAGTCTTTGCATAGCCTTTTCTTGACTGTAAAACAAAATAACATTCAATTAATATATTGGTTGATGCAGCAAAGATCAGAAGAGTCTTAAATGGTCTATGTTTATCCTAAGGAGGTGGTTGTGTAGCCAATAAGACTACAGTTGAATTTGAAGGAGTTTAGAATGTCAGAAGTCTCAAAAGTCTACATAATAAACGGTTGGGAAATTTTTTGACTTGAGATATTTCTCCTGCAATTAAACTGAAATGTCAGTTTGCATCTTGGCTGGATTTCCAAAAAGTAGCAACTTAACTAGGTACTTCGGAGAACAATCCAGGTGAGTGTAATTATCTATATTTATCACCACTGGTTCACTTGTCAGTGTAGTAATGAAGGTTAGATAAAGTGTCAAAAATCATCATGTAAAAGGAATAGTGGGCTGAAGACATATCATTTCTAGTCCAAGTCTGAACTAGCTTTTAAGGAACAGGGAAGAAAGGACTTTGCTTCATATCTAGCTATTTCTGCCAACAAGACAAAAGGAAGGAGGTGGTGTTGAATAAAAAAAATGTCAAGGGTGGTTGGAGCACAAGAGAAGGAAAAGGACCATGGCTCATTTAAATGCACAGAAATAGAGAATGGCAGAATAATGAGTTGGAAAAATCTTGGAGCACTTTTAGTCCAACTCCTATGCAGGATAGACAAATGGCTCTCATAGTTGACTAACCTTTGGTTGAAAACCTCCTCTGATGGAGCACCCACGACCCCAGCAGCCAGGAGGTCCCACTGCTTAATACCTCTCACAGTCAGAAAAATCCTCCTTATTTTGTGATTGGATCTCTCTCTATAAAAGCTCCAAAAGCTCATTTGTTCTCCTACTCTTGCGGACTGAGGAGAATATCTCTGTGACAGACCCTCAAATATTTGAATACTGCTAAGGCTCCCTTGCCTTCTCTTCTTTAGACTAACTTTATGTCTTGGGGTTCGCGACACATGTTGTTAACCAAGCTCTTTCCTTTATTTGTTCCACAACACAACTCAACTCGCAACAGGCGCACAGGCCTTTTATAGTCTCCCAAACCCAACCAATCACAAACAGCTCTTTTCGTGCCTTGCGCCTGTGCACAAGACCAGTGCCAACCAGTCTGGTCCCGGGCAGGTTTTAGGTTGCCCGGGACCGTTTGCAACATTTCTGAGCCTGCTGAATCACCTCAGCAGGCCCAGGACACAACACTAACCATACTAGTTCTTCATCGGATTTAAGCTCCAAGTCCCTCAACATTTCTGTTGCTCTTCCTTGCAGCCTTTCTCAGTTTCTCAGCTTCTTGTGTTGCAAGGACTAGAACTGGGGACAGTATCCGGCTTAAGACTAGTGATTCAATGATTCCACGAATACATTGTCTCTTTCGGCAGCTACAGCACCCTGCTGGCTCTTGCTTAATCTGTGCTCTGCAGGATTCCCAGATCCTTCTCAGAAGTACTAGCACTCTGCCAGGTGCCACCTATTTTGCACCCGGGGGGTCTGCTTTTTCCTACCTTACATTTCTCACTACATATCCAAATTCAATATTTGGATGTTAAAGAAGCAATTCCAAGACAGAAATGAAATTATGTAATGTAGTGGGGATTGTAATGAGTAATGATTCAGTACTTGGGAAACGTGTAAGTCTCTAAGACATTCTTTAATATCATTCTATAACTATCAGATTCCAGTGCCAATTCAAACAGTAGCTGATCGGAAATGAAGATAGAATTTTTTAAAAATTAGACAGTTTGGCACTGCTTTCACTTCTATTTTCTGTTTTAGACACATGCTGTATTAAAGTGTGCAAAGGGATCTTTCATTTGCAATATTACTGTTATTCATTTTTTGCAGTACACGATAAAGTACAAATGTTTTCCATTTGCTATCTCCAATCTTTACTTTTTCTTCTAGCGACTTCCCTTGTCAATGCATTTACAGAAGCCTGCTGTCTGATTGTTTTTTGTCTTTTATTTGCCTTACATTATGGATTACATTCCCCCCTCCCCTTCTACAGGGTTATTCTTTAAACAGACTGACACTACGAAGAACAAGGTACAAAAGTGAAAAAATATGTTTAGAAAGAAACAGATATGGGCAAGAGAGGTATTAAGCTGAATTCATTTGAATACAAAGCTCAACTAAAGGTGGGGGGAATGTGTCCAAGGCTTATACTTACTGCACAGCCATCATGAAGCACTTTGATATACGGATTGTTGTCATAAGACATTTCTTCATCATTTGACCCTAAGAACCTCAGTGCTTTGTCATAGCTGTCAGAAGAGACGTCATGCCATGCTACTGACTGATGACAGTTGTAAGTGAAGTTTTGTCGAGCAGAGGCACTTAGTAGTTTAAGGAATGTCATTTGGACCATGCTAATAGAATTGCCTTCAGCATCCACATAAGAAAGCTAAGGAGGTTAAAAAAAAAAAAAAGGCAAACAGCTATATATAAACTTGCTCTTCAAAGTGCAAAACAAGATAATATGCAACAGCAAAACACATTAACCGGCCTCTTATAAATCAGCTGACATAAGCCTGTTTGTTGTCCCATTAAGAATGCAGTTAGGCAATGAATCAATAAAGATATTTCCTTTAAGCAAAGCTATATGATTATGCACCCAGTCTGCCTGTTTATTATCAGAAGCTGAAAACCATTGCAAACAATATGTGATAACCTTGTCCAAACAGCATTCTCCCAAGGACACAGTTTAAATTCTTAGTAAATTTAAATTCTGAGGTATCTGCTTTCCCACATGAGGGAGACCAGTCCCAGGCTTTCCTCTATCGAAAGTCTATACAGGTAGTCCTCAACTTATGACCGCAATTGAGCCCAAAATTTCTGTTGTTAAGTGAAACATTTGTTAAGTGAGTTTTGCCCCATTTTACGACCTTTCTTGCCATAGTTGTTAAGTGAATCACTGCAGTTGATTGAGGTGTAGTAACAGTGTAGTAACAGTTAAGTGAACAGTGTAGTAACAGTTAAGTGAACCTGACTTCTCCACTGATTTTGCTTGTCAAAAGGTTGCAAAAGGGGATCACATGACCTTGGGACCTTGGGACACAGCGACGGTC